TGGCATAAATGAGCTGAACGTTTTGATGTATGAATTGTTGAAATAGCACAAAAATTGCGGAATGAGGTAGATGCCGAAAAACGTACAGAAGAAAAAATAATCTCAATGGTGTGAATGCTATGAAGCATTCACACAACAAGTTATTTAAAAATGTTTTTACTTTTGAAAAACGTGGCTTAGGCTGGCAAAACGAGTCACAATTATCAGCGGGTGGTAAGGGAGTCATCCGGTAASCGATAGGTCGCCTGTTCGATCCCCCRTTCAAGCTATCTCAGTCRTGTTCTTTGGTAAGACATTTCCCCTGCCTTGCCTACTGATGGTGGTCAGAGGGTCCGGTGGCACCTTGCTTCTCTCAGTGTGCCCCAGGGCACAGTGTTGCCACCATCAGTGTGGGAATGGGTGACTGGAGTGTAAAGAGTCCATGTGGACTTGATAAGGGGCTATATAAGTTCAAACCATTTACCTGTATTATTTTAAAATTCTTCATCTCAAAGTTTCAAAATCCGACTCACCTCTCTGGCCCCAACCCAGTTGAAAAATGCATCACAATATACATGTTTCATATCAGGCAATATTGATGATTTTTGATTAGTTTTTGCTAGACCTGTTTGAAATAAGGACCAGGAGGAAAAAAGTCTGATTAATACTGCCAAACTGGTGATGTGACCTTTCCTCTTTTATCACAATTTCCTCTCGAGCTGCTGCACTCATTTTCTTTTTTTTACTTCTCGTTGTCCCTTTTATTTTTTTAAGCTGTTGTGAGGCACGGTGGTGAAACATGAAACTGCTGCTGTGCATGGCACTCAACAGGTTAACTTATCGAAGAGTGAGTGAGTTAGTTCATGKCACCAACCTTGCTTAGGTGGGCCATGAGAGGTCAAGCGGCTCAAGCCTTTCCTCTGCAAACAAGCCCCAGAATGCCGTGTGGTCCTGGATCGGAGTCTGKTAAAATTCTCATTATTCTGTTGGATGTATTTTCTGTTGATATTTATCATGTACCTATTGTTGTTTTATTGCTCACACCTAGTTCTACTGGAGGTTTCTTTCGGTTAAAAGGGTGTTCATTTCCACTGCATGAGATACAACAAAATTTGAGGCAATCCGCTGGCTGGCTTCGATAGATTACTTTGGCATTTCAAAATGTGAATGATTTTGTATGGGTCCCTGAGATGGCTTTTGTTGTAAATTGGTGCTATTTAAACAACATTGAACTGAAAAGGATAAACAGTTTGTTGAAATTTGGTAATTGTGGCTAGCAATGAGTTGGTAGTTTTGTTTATGAGTGCTGGTTTGAAAAACTCGATTGAGGATTGTAGCCCAATACTTTAAAMGGGGAATGTCTATACTTCACCGTGACGCCTGACATTATACATGACATTATACAAAAGTGTTTCTCAGTGCTACTGCAGCAGGTGGAGAAAAATGGTCATTTTAAAAGGAAACTCCAAGRGCTAAAAGACAAAGTATTTATTATGTCTGAAAACATACATGTTAGCAAACTTTCATTTAAAAGATAGATTAAGTTATGTTATTTTAGTTACCCAAATTGCTACATTATGACTAATTTGTATGCAAATCTCAACCCTGACAAAAAATTAAGAGGGATAAGATAAAACTTTATTGATCCCAAAGTGGGGAAATTTACGCGTTACTGCAGCTCAGTACAGAAGAGGGTGAGTTAGAATAAAGAACGCTATACACATAATATTTAACAATGTACATATGCATATATATACATATACACACATATACATCAGCAAACACTATTTAAAACATTACAGTACAGTATAAATAAATGAAATGTATGTGAAGGTGCACATAAGTGATGACAGTGGAGGCGAATTGTTCATGTGACTGATAACATCATGATGTGTTATACAGTCTAACTTTCATTTAAAAGATAKATTAAGTTATAWTATTTTAGTTACCCAAATTGCTAGATTRTGTCTATRRACTATTAGTGAATTATATATTTTTATTTATTTAGCACTGTGRCCTGAGCTCATTCTGACTTATTTTGCAGAAAAGGGTAACATATTGAGAGGAAATGGCTGAAAAGAACTGGTTTCATCTTATTAGGCATGATCGTTTGTTTTTMTTTTTATTTGTTTTGTATAACTTGGAAGAAAACTGGTTATTTGGTATCAGTGAAGTCTAATAGAAATTTGTAATGAATACAAAAAAAAAAAAAACAAATGCTAGAAAGGTTTATCAGATGCCTTGTTAAAATTAGACAGAGATGTTTTTAACAGGTGGACAGGTTTTTTTTCCCCCATGACTGTGATGGTGTTTGTGCTACCAAAATATCTTGTGAAACAATTGAAAGTTTTAATGAAACTGTCATAAAATAATTTTAGAATATTTCACTACAACTAATTGACTTTTTGAGTAAATTTGATTCAAGATGGCTGCAATACAACAGACATCTGATCTTAAAGAACACAAATATGATAACTCAGTTATTTTTTACAGATATTGAACTAAGATTTGGTGTGGTGGTAGCCATTTATGACACATAATCTGAGCATGACATCTTTAAATATCTTATATGATTGGTTACGCAAATTATATTGTAAAGGTTTGTTCAAATCAGCTACATCTCTGTAGCATTTCTCAACACAAGATGATCTAAACTGAGGCATAAAAAGTGGCAGGTGATATGCATTCCTTCAAGAAACATTTGCCCTTTTTATAGATTATTTTTTATYTTTGAAAAGGTAAATACACACAAATCTCATTCTCAATAAAGCCCTGCAGAAAGCCAATAAATAATTCACAACTGTAGACACAGCTGACTTTACAAACAAGTAGTTTGAAAGCTGATGGCTTGATTTTTCATTGCTCTTTGATGCACCATAAATAGGTCCGCAACTCCTCAGATAACTTTAACAACACCCACAATCAAGAATTGTTTTCTATGAAATTATTATTATTATAATTATTATTACTTTTATCATCCTCTTTTGATCATATGTGAAGTTAGTTCAGCTAGTGTTATCATTCATTAAACAATCTTAAAGAAAGTCAAATTATGGGRCTTCCTGGTCATTTTAAAGGCATCAATTGTTTTAAAACTCAACCTTTAAATGGATTTTTACATCATCTGTTTTATTTTTCCAGTGTGAAAGGTGACAGTGAACTGAAACGTAAAACATCGTCCACTGAACTGTAAACCGTTTCCTGGTGCCGCTGAACATAAAATTGATAAGAGACATAACATCAAGGTATTATTCTTCACACATGTTTTTTCTTTTTGTTTGTAATGGCTCTTTTATGGTGGATGTAAACATTTAGCATCATTCAAACTGTGTTTTTGCCTGTTTTCCCTTGTTTGCATGTTACTCTTTGATGCATCTGTGCTAATTTAATTTACTTGCTTGGCAGTCGTGGAGTGTGTGAATCCAAACAGCAACATCATGTTTTATGGTTCTTCCTCCGGGGCCAGTATGTCCCTACCATCCAAGAGCCGACTGAAACGCCAGAGTAGGACCTTCACACAGGTGCACGCACACACACTCAAGCATCAACACACACACTATAACACAATGTGTTTAGGATTAAAATACATTCTAGGTTAAATGAAAGGGACAAAGACAAAAATAAATAATTTATATATATRAATATATATGGCAAACAATGTGCTGTAGGTGCATTGTTTGCCAGAACATGTCAAGTTTTTCAAAGTTTAAAAGTTTCACCCCAAAAAAATAGTATTTCTTTTGCCTGTGCTTCACTTGTCACTTTCCTGACCTGACTAAATCTCAGTTACTTTAGTGACCTTAAGAGTTTGTTGCTCATGTCTTCTTCAAGTTGAGCTGAAATAATGTGGCTTTTGATGAAATGCCGTCACAAAGATCATTTTTTATAAAACACAACAAATCCTTAGTGAAACCTGTTAAGTGTCCTGTTTGCATATTTTATTATTTAAGGAAGTACTTTGTCTTTATGCAGCATGATGAATTAAAATAATTTTCTCTGGAAAACTTTGTATTTGTTAGAAAAGCTGTTTCCTAAGTTTTTGCTTTTTTGTTTATGATGGSTTATTATTGGAATTGTACCAATTTTTTAATTAAAAGTGTTTTGTGTGCAAGTCAAAATGAATGTCTTATAAAAGTAAATCTGGCTTCCAGTTGAGTATTTCCAAATGTTAGCAAATCAAGCAAATGTAAAGGTCATAGTTAGACATTCCTATGAACAAATACATTTGGTAATTTAAGTAATAAACATAGTTGTTTATGTGTGTCTGTCTGATGTAAGAAACAGTGTGTTGTAAATATTTCTGTTCCTGTAATTGTGTATCTTTCTGCACAGTAGCTTGCTTTTACTTTCATTTTTATCTAATTTCACCTTGATAGTCACGTACGGTAATTATTATTCTTATTTTTATTTTGATTTATGTTTATTTTTTTATTGTTACTATC